CTATGCCAAGTACAGGAGTGCTGTGCATTTCTCTCACAAAAAATATTGAACTCATATTAAATACTATTCAGCCGAATAGAAAAGCAGTAAAAAATGTCCCACAAAATTGCACTTATTAATGTCGGATAAAAATATTTCAACAATAGGCTTTTTCAACAGTTGTTGAGAAGTTCTATAGTTCCCGAGCTCGTTCTAAGGGTTGCTTTGGGAAACAGCGGTGAGTAGCGGAGAACCTCTGCCCGCCAAGCTACGCGTCCGTGTTCCCGTTTAGCTCGGCTACGACGGGATTCGTATTGTCGACGGAGGCGATGATCACAATATCCTACTTCCGGACTCGCCGCTATGATTTAGCGCCACGATTTTTGTATCGCCGAAAATCGTAGCGTTGTGCATCTCCCTACTGATCTCTGTACTCGAATTCGTGACGTGGCTCTTACACTAGTAACAAGTTGGCATGAAGAGGTCGGCTTCAGTACCGCTATGATTTAGTGCCACGATTTTTGTATCGCCGAAAATCGTAGCGTTGTGCATCTCCCTACTGATCTCTGGCGTTGTGCATCTCCCTACAGATCTCTGAGGTATCTACTTAACCGAAGTATGGTAATGCCATAGGTAATGCCACAGAATATCATCTGGGCACTACACCAGTAAGCATATCCGATTCTGTTACGGAATCATTCCCTTTTTATCTTACATTCCATTATTTTGCGAAACGTCAGAATTAGTAATGACTGCAAATAAATGCATTAGATAAGTACTGTCACAACATACGTTGATAATCACAGAATAGTTCTAAATTAAATTTATTCAGTTATGTTAGAGAACATTGTATAAGAAACTATAGTGTCCAGATAAATTTGGAGCAGCCAAAATGAGAGGAATATTAATTTTCGATCATTTAAACGACGTGCTGTTTACAAAATGTAACAAGAAATTTACTAAACACATTCAGAAACTTGCAAAAATTCAAGGACTAGTAGTTGAAGGAAAGGTATGTGTTTACATAATCCTATTATAAAATGTTGAGAAAATATTAGTCTCGCTTTTTTAAAATATATTGTATTTTATTTACTTTTAATAGATGGATGGTGAATGCGACCAGAAACTAAGTCCAAATATTATAATACAATTGTTTTCCCCAATTGTAACATCACAGAATATTATGGCTTCTCAGTTTGGCAATTCATATACATCAGTACGTTGCCAAGATGGTACCAATATGGTATTTGACGATTTCATGGGATATACATTTATGTATATTGCTATAGAGGATGTAGCGCTTATGAAAAGAACTCTAGGGGTCTGTGTATCAATTGTTAGGCATCTCTGTGGACCAGACGTAACTATGTAAGTTAGGATAACTAGTTAAAACAGCAAATTTTAAACTGATTTGCTTCCAGATTGAAATCCAGTAAACAAAAGGTATCGTTAGTATCTTCATTATTAGATGCTTGGATTCATTTGAGGAATTCTGAGCAAAGTGTCTTAATGGAAGCAGTAGAACAGCTATCAGTTAATGCTGATCTAGCTTCTACGACATTAAAAGTTCTTCACGACGCCTCAGATAAATTAAAGACGCAATCAGAATTTTCAAATGTTCATGTACTGATTTTAGTAGAACACAAATTTTTATCTTTATATTCAAGTAAAAATGCACAAGATCTGAGTGCATCAGATATCTTATTGATGGTATTAATGTGCTGGGTTGCCAATAGAAGAGGAAAAGGCACTGAAATTGACACATTCAAAGATAATGCTGATGATGAGGATGATGATTTTCTTTTACCACAAAGCAGTCCTTCGGGTAAGGAAGAAGAAAGACATTCCTTCACTGCTACAACAAAGTTAGCCAATCCTACCTCTGAGGACATTACTAAACTATTCGGTAAATATTTGAGAATCGAAGCGAGCAAGCTTCCATTTTAATATTGACAAATATAATTGCACTTTAGGTGATTCTAGAGACTCTTCTGTGAGTGAAGGTCTATATTCGTTTGCTGAAGATGGTCTTTATAGTCAACTGGTCCTTCTGGGATCTGAACGTGGCTATACAGCCAATGCAATACATATTTCTGAATTATCAGAAGGTATAAACCTAGTAACTATAGTAGAAGTGACGAACTTGGCCACATCATCTGGACTCTATGACAGTTTTTATCATTTGAATATCATAAATGGTTTACAACTTCAGAGAGACATAGACGAATTGAGACCAGCATTTGATAATTTAGATGGAGCACTAAAAAAAGCTTTAGATGGGATAAAAAAGAATCGAGCACATGTCAGTAACGACGTAGACATGTGCCAAAGAAGATTACAAGTGAAATGGGAATTTGTGCGTAAGAAATACATGGATCTGTTAAAATCAAGAGATCCGGAATCAATTCTTCAAATCGAATCCAATACCTCAGGCTTTATCGAGACTATGAAGGAGCTATTTCGACTGACTTGTTTTGATAACAATTTTTTGAAACAAGGTACAGATGTGATAGTCACTGTAAGCAGACTGGTGCGACAAAAACTTAATGACTTCAGTGATTTCCTTAAAGTCAAGGCTCTCAAGAATTTCACTCTTGGATCATATCCTTTAATAATATATGTGTATCATGCATTATGATGATTTGAAAGTCTTTATGTTCTCTCGTAGCCTTGGATGTTCTACACATTATACATGTTTGAAATATTAAATATGCTGTACTCTGAAACTGTGTATAACATTCATAATCGACTGTCTTTGCTTGCTATATTTTATTTTACTGCTTACTGAATATCTGTCCTTAATGTCATGTTATGTACGAGAACTTCCCTAACGATCAACAAATATTTGGAAGAATTTCCGGGCCTTGTGCACTTCATATATATTGACAGGACAACGCACAGGCTAACAACGCCAACGTTAGATTTTACCAATCCAGAAACTTTAGCCCTCACCACGAAAAAGGTAAGGAAATAGCAGCAGTATGTAAAATATATGAAATTAATTTATTAATATTATTTCCAGATTTGGGCAATGGTCGAAAATAGTAGATCACATTTGCAAGAGGGGCATTTGGCAGTTATGTGGAAAGATACGACATTTAATTATTCATACTTTTTATGGTTCGAAGATAGTTCGGTGTGTATGAGGAAATTGATTTATCTAACGATGTTTCATAATAATAAGTTACAATTTTAAAGATCATTGTTTTAAAGGGTTCACCGCTTAAATCCAAGGCCTATTTAAATCACATAATGAAGACCTTTCCCATACCTGGAATACTTTGCGGAGATTATTATAGGTTTGCAAATATTTGATTTAACTTTTTAATGTATTGTACAGGTATCAACGAGCTTACGGCGTGTATGTTAATAAAATAATTTATCTATTTTCACAGAAAACTCGTGGAGGCATGTTTTCCAAAGCTCTCTCCAAATAAAATACGCGTCTACGAATTGTATTGTGTGCATCTAGGTTTAGCGACGTCCTCATGCGTCCTAGAACATTCAAGAAGACTTGCAGCTACTATTTGGGAGGTTACAGGATTACCTAATAATCCAGCAGACATTCTTTAATCAAATTGCCTCCACCCAATATTTCGTGTTCCATTAATGTAATTGTTATGAGTGTAACGGTGTCAGCCTTGGCAATGAGATTGTTCATACGGCAATATAATTAGGTGCGAGGTTTATTTAAGCATTCCATAACTCCTGTATCCTTGCAGTATTTACAAACTACCATTAAAAAAAGGTCTTATGCTTCCATAAACATGTCCAGCATATCAAACCCTGCTTGTCTACTTCTTTGTGTATCCAACTTTTTAATATGTTTCCATATACATACGCCGTAGATAGAAATTGTAAAAAATGAAAAATTATCAACTCCAATAAGTCACGGATAATGAGTCATTAAACCGAGTACCAAAATAAACACTTCATGTTTTTTAATCACAGTTCACTCAACAACGCTACGGAAGTTAAATGATTAATATAATAGATAATAATGGGAAAATGTGACAAGTAGTAGTAAATATAACATAACTCTTGGTAAATATAGTTACAAGAATATTGTATTCAGAATCGCAAAATCATGATTCGAAATAAATATAGGAATGGAAAAACTTTAGATGTAAGTAGGTACTCCAATGTCACGATATAAGCACAGATGCTTATTTATATCAGTATTGACTTAATTGCTATTTTTCACTCGTCTCTCACTGATCTTTCTGAATTAAGTCATTAATGTCTTATTAAAAAATATATAGTGTTTCATAAAGTATAAATAGACTGAAAGAAACGTGATCATTTATAGATATTTACGATTTCAAATTTGAAATCAAATATTAATCATTAGGTAATACCATAAAATTTGCGCAGGTCATCATACTCTAACTTAACTGCGTATAGCCTCAATGATTACGTTAATAAATACAAATTGTGAGGGATGTAGACTGAATTCCTCAGCGAACATTATTTGTAATATCAATGAGATTGTTAAAACAATTAAGATAGATTATTAAAAGTACACGCAAGTTGAGTGGTATAACTTAATATATTCTTGATTGAGGAATATTTACATTGAATAGAGTTAAAAATTAAAAGCTGCTGTGCAAAAACTTAAACACGCTTTATTGCATGCAGCATGACCGGAAACTGTGGAACAATTTTAAGTATTTCCTTACACTTTTGGTGATGACTTAGAGATAACTTCGCGTAAATGACATCCAAAGAGAATCCTAAAATTATCACTATTCTGGTAAATCAGTTAATCCGCGAGAAGTATCAACATTCTTTTTTGTTGCCTGACTGTAAGAGATCGTCCCTATAGGAAGGTTTTGCACGGAGTTAGGTTCGTTATGCTCTTGTTCCAGAGTCTGTGAGTTTCCAGATTTTTCCAGAACAACTTTCGGTAAGGTTGTACGTCTTGGTTTTTTTGTTCCTGGATTTGATTCATAATTACCTCGACCTTTACTTCTAGCAATACTGAGTTCATTCGTATCGATCTTGGATACTGGTCGTGCGACTCCGGGACCTGCTGAAGCCGTCGCACGTCTAGTCCTATTTGATACAGAATCAGCAATTTCCATTTGCATTTCATTCACGATATTTGCAAATGGGTCATGGCTTGTACAACCTTGTATATCTTTTCCAATTGCCATATTTTTTGCCCGTTCCCTGTCTTGATTTGTATTTTTAACATTTATGCCTATTGAATTTTTTTGTTTTCCAATAGCTATTGGTTGACCCTGTGGCAAAAGATAGACAAATTATAATTATAATATGTTGTTAGTCTGTATAAGGTAAATGTGAACAATGCATAGATTTGATAAACGTACAATGGTCGTCGGATATTTGGTCGGTCCCAAGTCATTATGCAATATAGCGCTGGCGGTATTCCTTAAAACAGGATCTTCGTTCTTTTTACATCTAATGTATCCATCATCATCCCATTCTTTTCCCGCGGGAAAATTAGTTTTAATAGCCAATGCATTGTCATTTAACTCTATTTTGCTCGGAGCATTCCAGGTAAGTATCTTGGCCTGCAGATCACGAACTTGCTTTTCCAAATCCGCAACTTCTCGATCAGACTCGCATACTTTTGGTATTAAAGCGTTTAAATGCCGCTCTGCAGCTTTTTGAATGGCTGTTACTAGCTCCACACCTGGTGTTTTTAAGAGGTCCAAACTGAAAATATGTCTCTGTTAATATATTAAAGAACTTAATTGACATTGACTGTTTTAAGAAAATTAAAGGCGAATCTTAATTTTGTTAGTAATAAAGATATACACACTTTAAAGAATCAACAACTTTACTAAAAGCGTCAGGTTCCTCTGATCGTTTCTTTAATGGAATAGGCTTATAATCTGAACCATCATGACGGGATGCATCGGCTCCTAAATTATTTATCCTCATCGGTACTGGTTCAAATACCCTGTAATATTTTATGTTTTGCACTGATAAATAGAATAATGATATATCCTCTAAACTTACCCTCTTTTGTGATGCAAGAAAACATGTCTGAACTTATGAGTACCACCCATATTAGAGACTGAGGTATTCAGAAAGCAAGCCACAAAGTTTTCCTCTGTCGAAGCTGTTCCACTGGTAAAATGAGAGGCAAACTGCTTATGTAGCACCTTGTCTCTCAACGTAGGTACAAGAGAGCTGTTTTGCCTGAATCGAAACCATCCTACAACCTGCTTACTTTTGTCACGAACAAAGTTTTTCAGTTTCTCCTTGTTTATTTTACCAGTGGAGTCATGTAGCAAATCTGCTGACGGGCATGTGACAACTGTATCAACATCTAAAAGTTCATAAATGAATTTGACAGTTATCCATACTTATTCATAAAACGATCTAAAACTCCTAATGCATACTTACCAATGTGTATCCTCACATATTCAACTTGTTTGTCAGAATCAGTAACTTTCTTGGTAAGAAATACAAGTGCTTCACCCAGAAGAAAGCCCATCTACACATAATAAGTAAAAGAGACTTTTCAACTTTTTGACACAGTGTAAATAGATGAAGGTTAGAGTCGAACGTCATAACAATCGAAGACAGCATATGCCTTGAAGCGTATGTATGTAATCATTATCATCAAACCGGAGAGGTGTTGAAATATACCTGATCGCCGACGCTACGGACATTTTCGTAAAATAGAAGTGATAGAGCAGCTCCAGAAATCGTGACGAGTAAACCGCAATCCGCCATGTTGACAGTTGAACGGATTGAACGCCACTAACAGTCCCTGGCTTTATTCCTTATTCCACATAAATGCATACCTGTAATTGCAAAGTTTCAAGTATCATAATCAACATAAGACATGTTCTTAAGCATGGAAATATTAGGATATTATAAGAATCTTGATTACACGTTGATAGAGGAACTTTTCGTGAAGCGAGGTAAAACAAGCGAATACTTGTTTTCTAACAGTATACTATACTTATACATATATTTACTGCATACTTTATTGCGTCGTTGAAATACGGACATTCAGTTTTTCTTTCTACAATAAAAATACATATTTACGTTACACGTGGAAAGACATGATGTCATTTATATGAAAAACATAGTAATTTACTCGAGTACACAAATAATTCGATATCTCATGTAATATTACTTATCTATCCTTATCTCCAACGCTGTCCGTGAACCGCAGCTATCTAGTATATGTATATATGTACCTGCACGTGTTATCTGACATTAGATTTTCATATCTAGCAATTATTCTATGCCCGGAAATTTTTAAAATGAAATTGATTTATACCTCGTTTATCGAGTTCCATTATTCTCAGAGTATTTTAATAACTTTGCTTTAAGAAATTGATTAAAAACGATTGAAAATAGTCGGAAGTAATCAGATTTGTACATCAGAAAACTTCTTATCATATCTTATATATATTTATTACTGAGAATGAATAAAATTCCCAATAATTTCAATTAAAAAATTATTGTTTAAGGTGTAGTCGCCAATAAAATCGAATTGAACACGATAATCTATTCATTCCAAACAATTTTCAATCGGAATTCAAATGTTTCCGATTTCCCCAAATAAATCCGATTATTATTTAATCGGATATTTCTCGGTTTCTATTGATTTCAATCGGATTGTTTAAGCAAGAAATACATTATCGACTGTTATTCCTCTACCTGTATAATCTTTAGTACCTGTGTCTTAATATTCTAAACTGCAATGTGTTCTATCTGCTCACGAGTGTTACATTCAAAGGACTTCAATGATTGAATAACAATGGATTACTAAAATGTAGAATAATGAAACCTCTAATTTAAAAAATGAATGATGCATTGAGTATGATCATGATAAAAAAATCGATGTACATACGTATAAGGGTTACGCATTATGTTTATTTAAATATCTAATCGAGCCCGAATGTCTATCTCGGGTCTTCAAATGTAAAGGATACAGTTTTGGAAAATATATTTCTTTTCAAGTATACGCGTCGACGTATATTCTACATGACCAACACTCATTTAAGCAATACTTTAGAGCCATGTCGAAATTGACAGAGAAGTCGATGTAATTTCTCCGATATACATACATACAATCTGTTGTTATTCCGCATCGAAATTGTCATGTAAAATGTTTTTATTTAGTTTCGAATTAATCCATTTGAAACTAAAATATAATTAATTTTTTAACTTGCACTGTACGTCCGGTGAGCTACACGAGTGCATCAAACCATTAAAAATCTGTTCTTCGCGATTTTGTCATGAGTAACGATTCAAGATGGTTGCTAAAGCTCTATAGTCTTCTTAAGTATAGTCTCACCATGAATTCTTATCGATTGTATTAAATCCTGGTTTTATATTCAGTATTAATTTATTTTTAATGAGTGACATTTAACTAAACACATTTGACCAAACAATCGAAATAGGCATATCATTAGCGACTGTCACCGAACATAACGGAATAACCCCTACCAATCCAGAAATATTTCCATGAAAGAACTAAAGTTTACCAAAGCTGAAATAAAACAAAATATTTGTCAGAAGTGGGATTCGAACCCACGCCCACAGAAGTGGACTGCGACCTGAACGCAGCGCCTTAGACCGCTCGGCCATCCTGACTCTGAAATACGTTATTTTTCAAGACAATTTTCAACCAATTCTCCCATACTTATATCAACCGATTATATCAACCAATAGAGCTCAGCATAATGATACGTTAAAAGAGGTCAAGATACAGAGCAGATGAACTTACGAAGTAAATAACCTTATGTGGTTCATTGAATTTAGCTCTAGTATGAATATCATGATAAAATATAAAAAAAAACTTAAAGATTCACATTTCCCTGCGTCAAAGAAAAAGAAACATACAAATTACATATGTACTACGTCACAAAATTACGTAACCTGCTAACTAGTCGAAATAAAGTCAATCGGTAAGCACAGAGAAACGAAGCAGAAGCAGCGAACGGCGCGCAAACCTTGCTCGCCCAAAATATCCAACGCATGTTTCAGGAGACAAATATATATGTATATATATTTCTAGCAAGGAAGATACTACAGGTCTAACGCTCGTTGTGATGTAAGTAGGACGCCTTTAGTAATTGCTAGTGGCGCTGAGACGGTCGTGCAGGCTCATCGCTAGAGGAGTATAAGCTTTAATAAATTAAAGAAAACGCTGAATCAGTACAGTTTTGAAGCTCAAGAATAAATAAACATTACCTCGTGATAATGGAAGACGATACGTGGGACTATCTCGGTGAAAAATGGGAGCACATAGATGAAACGGTGAGTTCTTACGACCCTTCACCAGACCAGACCTTGGTATACAATTTCCGAATTCCTGCAACGCTCAGATAAAATAAAACCTAGATAGGTCATCCTATACTCGTTTCCACTAAATTCTTATCCAACCTTGAAAAATCGAGGTCGCAGACAGTCCTGTTGGTAGGAGTTAAATTTCAAGAGCAACACAAACTCGTACCACCGTCCCCATATAAAATCTAGAATTACAAAAGGCATATACTCGTCTGAATCTCAAAACTAATCATGAGTCACATCTGTGCGCAAGGTTGCTAGTCGCCAATTAAAAGCCGTTATTCAGGTTTATGATCGGCCTTACAACAGTTAAAAAATTCTTGCTCGTTCTGTCTTCTTTGTTGTGACCTGCAGAATAATCAGCTTCCTCATACCGGTATATATGCATCCTATATCAGGTGAAGAATGAGTATGAATAACCCTCAGCTATAATGCAGAGAGAGGAAGTGCCCAAGAGAGTGAATGGGAATGTGAACTCGTGAGTTCATTGAAAAAGCGGATGAACACGTAACGCGGGTTCACTAGAGCGGCTTGGCAACGATTTGTACGTCCACTCCACCGCTCGGTAATGAAGTCTCATTCTTAATGATTGCACTAATCACATACCGATGAATCAAGGCCTTAAGGCAGCTCTTTGCGTGTCAATATTTCTGATGCTCTATGCGATTCTCAGTATGATCTCCATGAGGAGATGGTAGCTGCATGACTTTTTTGCCAACTGAATGGAATAAATGTGAACGACAAAAAATGATGAAAGAACGGTTATCATTTTATGACATAGATGGTTGTATACACATTTTTCTTTTCATGTTTGTTACACTTGTGCTTTTACATAACTATAATTATTTGATAATGACCGAATGCCGTGTGGAATTATTGGTTACGTAATTTTGAAAAAAAAAGGTATATAAATAATTCTAATCGCATATATACTTCATGGCTTAGCTATCTAAGAGACACTTGTTTGAGAAAATTTTCTTAATGATCGGCAGAGACGACGAGAAATAATTTTTCCAAAAAAGGAGGATACTTCTGCAAAATTGTATCCTCGTCGGTGGCGCGTGGTTGAATAATTGACGGACAAATTTAAAATGGAACGTCGCTCGACTATTTTTGTCGACACGTGACGCGCTTCATCTATGAAATAAGATGACGACGTATCAGTCTGTTTGTCGTTCGTTTACCAGAGGTGAAAAAAGTTCAATAAAATTTTCCTGTTCGTGAACTGGACTATCGTTTTTCCAATGGTCACGGACGTTTCCAGTGAAATTCGAGCTTTTGGTATACTTAGTAACGGCAAACATTGATATCGCTATACTGAACAACAATCAAGTGCGAGTGGCTGTGAAATAAAATTTCTATCCCCGGTATATTTACACAGAGCAAATAATAAGCCAATAAATGAGAGATAATTTTCTTATGGAATCTTTACGACGTTGCGCACGCTTTTAAGTCACTGTCATATAGATAAAATTCATTTGATCCATAGCCATCTAAAGTTTACCACATCTTAAGCTTTTAAGTGACCGGTATTATTTGATCAGTATCCTGACACGTGTTTGTATCGCAAATAGTTTACATTCTTCGCCTAGGGTGGTATCTGCAAAGGAACAAAGTTGAACGTGAAAACGCGTAATATTCTTCATGGCATTTGTAATTGGTCGTTTATCAAGGCTGTATATGTAAATATGTTTTATGAAGTAATTACGACAAATGAAGTTTAACCTGCGGTGTCAGGGAATCGCGTGACGATTATTTAATTGATGGCAAACCGTAAGTAGGTGCACTTTACTATGGCTTTTAGTAATAAAAATACGTAAAGAAAGCACGTTTTGTTTATACGTCAAGGTTCAAACTGTTCTTCCAGATTATACATCCAGAGTCTGACCTGGTGATGAGATGAAGGGTTGATTAAAAAAAAGAGTCTGTTTTTGGTAATTTCTTCACTGTCAGTGAAATGGTCTTGATTGGTCTTATTAATTGTCACAGAAGTAAGTGAAGAAAATTATTAACATATAAGTCTACTTAATTTATAATGAAAATGCTAATCAATCACATTAATTCATAATAAATGATATGCGATAGTGTAATCTGACAGTCAACAATATGAAAAACAATTAAAATTATAATAGAAAAGAATATGTAAAAATTATAAATAAACATGCTTCCACGAATCTTAAAACAAACTCTGATAGTATATTAATGAATTGTGATACTCTCGATCAGATATCATACATTAGATAAGACCGCCACGCGAAACACTTGCAGGTGGAAAAAAGATATCTCTCCAAGAAAAGATCGAGTAAATTCCATCTCGTCACATCGCCACCGAGAGATTCGCATTGGCACGTAAAATATGGAAGCGTTATTCCCAAGAGTCCACGCATAATCCAATGCATCGGTGTGACCTAGACTCGTAGGAGGAATGAAAGCAAGTAGAAAATAGAGGATAAAATAACAGAGTTCCTCTCTGTCAGCTCATTGTCACTTCATTGTTACTTCATTGTTACTTTGTGCGAACTCTTTCATACGTATCTTACGTTTTTGCACGTCACGGTCCAGTTACCATTCTCACGCGTTCTTCACTATAAAATGGGTATATACATATTTACCTAGAACAAGATTGATAATAAGATGATCCATAATGAAATTATAAATCCGTCCTGATTTAAAGAATGCAATCGAGTGCATATATATATATATATATATATATATATATATATATGTATATTAATATTGATGCAGGTGTGCAAGACAGGTGGAGCATTAGTTAATCGGCCGTAAAATAGAGCAATAAAACTCTGCGTTTGAAATTGATTAGCGTTAACATCGGGCAAGGGTGATCGGTTCTGTGAATAAAGGAGACTGGAAGTTACCATTCGGTAAAACCGTAGTGTAAGACAATAACGTGTTCCGCCAACCTACCAATCGCCTGCTCAGGCGCACTTCAGCCCCCAATGAGGCAGCAGCTACCTTGTCTATAAAGATGTTCGTTGCTAAACTCGATATTGCATTCAACCTAAACGTTCCGCATCACACGAATCGCGAGGAAATATTGGTAGTTGCGTGAACGGTGCATTTCTACGTGGAACGAAGAATCTTTGTATCCGACGTGTGTTTAACGAGTGACACTTCACATCTCGAGACGTTGAGAAGCTAAAAGCAGACAACAGACAGGATGAAAACTAAAAACAGATCACTCCTAAGCAAGCTGTTCAAGTGTTACTCCAAAGAGGACGGACAGCTTCAAAGTGCAACAAGTGCAAGTACGTCTGACGAAAATATCGACGACAAGGTAATTTTTGAATGGGACTGTAATATTTCTCGTGAGTTTAATATTACTCGAAAGTTCTTGGCTGCGAATGAGCATCGTAAAAATAAAGGAATCTCGATACCAGAGGGATAAAGTGTGTAACAGCTGACTAACTGAACTTAGACCTTCTAGTATTTTCTACGTACCATATGTTTTTCAAGTAAAATGGCGTCAGTTGTAGACCGCATCACGTTACTGTCAATATTATATTTTCCGGTATCAAAAAATGGAGCATGGATATTCGCCAGGAGAAAATTTGGTAATCAGTCAAACGACTATTAACAGTCTTAGATTTAATGTCGTTAAGAGGCTTCGACTTAACTGTCAGCTTCGCTGAAAGCTTAGGTATAGTGATGTACGATTTGTAATGGGAAAAAAAAAGTATTGCATTACACAGAGTAAATTCATTTACAACACATCTTCCTGGGCCAATTATTTCAAAAGACATTCAATCGGCACTGAGGATCGATCGAAAGACGGTTAACCTTGCATACCGTAACATTAAATGGCATTTTTGCATTTTCAGCCAGTCACAGTAATCGTACGAAGACCATGTTGTAAGGCCAAGAACATTGTGGACATATGTGCGCCTCCCGTTTCTCCAAAGGCAAATAACTGTTAAGTTTCCATGAGATAAATATTACGCTCCAAAAATAGTACGTGGTAACCTCTGTATCTCATAGGGTTTGAATAAAAGCTGTGTTATAATGTACGCGGTATTGCGCAAGTGATAATTATTACTTATCAAGAGTTCATTCCAACAAAAGTAGAAAAAAAAGTCTCGGGGGCAATGATGCTCCGGGATGGATACGCACGAATGCATAGTATGATATGTTATGTACCCTTGTTTATGTTTTATAACACAGTAAGCATATACGTACTTCGCAGTCATTAACTTCGAGATACAGAGGATTTGCCGATGGACCTTGACGGAGACTGAGAATTACTTGATTCAGAGTACCTACACTGTATTGACTTAGGTTAAGGCGCTTGCGCCAAACCCTGCTGCGAAGCACGATGAAAGTGAAAGCAAAAGAGCGGAGTCGACGTCTAAGAAGGACGTCGAGAATGAAAATGAAAGTAAAGCCATTGGCAGGTGATAAGAAAAAATAATTAAATAACGTAGCATCGTTCCAAGAATTATTTTATCGAAAACAAACGTCACAGGACCATCTCAGAAGTCTCCCTAAAACTTTTAAAGGATACATACATATATATAAAAGGAATCTTCTTTCTTTTTCTTTATTCTTAGAAAAAGGGAATCCATTATGGATATCCTTACACTTTGACTGAGCTTTTATTGTGCGAAAGTGACGATGGTACGACAACGTGACCTTCACCTATTTTCAATGGCGACGTGGAAGTCATCCATAAACGTTTCTGCGACTTCCGTGCAGAAGTCCTGCTAGCCAGCCTTGTCATGTCCCCCGTGCTATTCAATTCTGGTCTGGTTCTCGCCAACGGCAATAAGCCGAAGAGAGGTTACGTGAATCCATCTAGGAACTCGTGTCGTCGAGCGCACGATGTTGATAAACACAATCACTTTCGAAGCGCGAGATAGACAGCATAGCAGGTATGGCATGACGAGGTCTTGTTAGCTTCGTGAATCTCCGTAGAGTATTCGATTGCACGATTCCCGTGGTGCGGCAGTTCGTGATTGCTTATTGGTCGAGTCTCGGCTGGGGGCACGCTTACTGCTTTTCTATAGGTCTACCGGAGATATTGCTATTACCTACTGCTGAACTGCTAGGAACAGCAGACAGTTTCGATCGCTTCGCGTGCGAACACGTGTGTCGCTGGAACGTCAATTCCGTGTATTTTTACCGTAACTTTCTGTGGGGCCAAGTAACGAGCATGAAGAATCATACGCCTGAGAAACTTGTGAGTTTTCCATGTTATGCAACATTTAGGTGTTTGTGGTTCCATTGCTTTAGCATCTTTGTGGCTTGAAGAATTTACGGATTTACCCCTGTGGTATGCGTGCTAAAAACTTTGAGTATAACTCAAAATATTCGTACGCAATTCGATGGAATTTAGTACCACTTGATATTATACTATCCATTCTAATATATTTATCTCTTCCTTAGGGTGTTGTTGGCTATATGTATTATTGAATTGAAGAGGTTCCTCTATATTTTCAGGCATCTATGTTTATAGAGGAACAGAAAAAATACCTTACTTTGCCACTTGTGTTTTAGAAGCTAAAGGAAGTATCGAAAATTAGTCAAGCTCTAAAACTTCATCTACAATTTGTTATGCGGTTGAAATTTAAAATGCAGCTGAACGAAAAATGCGTCGTTATTTCACTTACAGAGGTAGATATAGTTTATGTGATATCTGAAGGACACTGTGTAATTTTTTGTCCATTGTTCAAGGTTTCTCCGGATATTTTAGCACGTAGGTATTCGCAGATCACCTTGCTCTCTAAACAAATCACTGAGGGATCAAATTTATTCAAGCCCACAAAGCTCGTTAGACCATGAATAACTAAAATATACAAAATGACAATCAGATATAACGTAAGCTAATACTGTATATAAAAATGGGAATTAATATTATAATAGTACAACGTATCTAATGAAAATAGTGAAATCAGTCAGTGATTGGCACTTAGTAACCAGGTTAAAATGATAAAGAAATATATATTTAGAATATTAAAATTGACCATATAATGCAGAGATTCAGAAATGTACGAAAAAAAGATTTAGACAAAAAGAAACCAAAAATCACTATTTAAAAAATGATTTTTTCACCTTAAGCTGTAGAGAAGTCATAAATATAAGAATCTGAAATCTTACAAATATCATATACACAAGCTTATCTCAGGCAGCAGACATTTCCTACCTTAACGATGTTAAATATTGTTTAACACATGTATTAATAACACTAGTTAACACAAAACTAGTTTCAGTGACTTCCGCTTACTACATTCCCGTCGTTTACTAATCATATGTACGATAAAGTCCCAAGTTTCCCTTCGTATGTATGAAAGTCTGATATAGCATACGTGGCGTTTTTTTTCCATCGGAAATAAAGGCGAGCGACCTCGTGATTCGCAGAGTGACGTCAAGTTCAGGGTAAAATGCGGTCGCCGACTGATGATTTTCCTCATATAATTTTTTTTTATTATCAGAAACTTTTCAACTTAAAATAAAGATAAAGCGAATTAAAAAAATTAATATGATACGTAATAAAACTGATAACGAAATACTTGCACTTTTTACGGTAGTTTGTCGCCTCTTTTAAAACCCCAACCTGATTCGAACCTTGCACAGCCGTCAAGTGATTCCCGCGACATGCAAATCTTTTCGCTGTATAACTACTTTACGGCCTTGAACTATTCTCAAATATAAACCCGCACCGAGGTGATCGCGCGACGCGCAATAAATTGGCTGGATTTTCGATAGCGACTTAAACGTCGTTGTCGCTTATGAAGAAAATTCTTCTTCACCGAATATACATATATATATATATATATATAATGATTAACAAGTCTTTGACGTATTCGCGTATAAAGTCTGGATGAATGTCTGACACGACACGAGGTCGATCCCCTCCGACCGTCGAGTTGGCTGAATAAACACATAAGTACATCTCCTAAAACGACTGTTAAATTAATTTTTCGTCAAAATTAAATAAAGTGTTGATTTACAAGTCGATTAAATTGACATCAACTGACATTTAGTCCTGCAACTAGAAATATTTCATATCGCGACGCCCTCATTAGAATGGTGACTAAAACGGTAACTAAAAGCTGACAGATAGAAGCGAATAACGCACTGACCACAATTAACCTCTGACATAATACGGAACCAGAGTCTTATCAAAAAGTCAAATCAAACGTTGATGATCAACAATATTTTCATAACCCCCTTATATTATTTGGTTATCACATATTCAAATGGAAAAATTCGTTCTACTTAACCGTCGACAAGGAGTTAACCCAATGAACTCGTTCTCATAACCTCTCTCCCACGGGTCGATAATTTTACTCTATAAACGAAGTTAACCTCTCTTAAAGATAAATCATATATCTATCCTATCCACGTGTATTCATTTTGCCATATTTGCAATCTTTTTCAAAATATTTCTCTCGTATGACGTCATCACGAATAGACTTTACGCACTTCCTATTAAATTCATGAATTGCGACATCTCCTCGTATGTCGCGAAAGTTACACGTTAAAACTGCCAGTTTACAAATGTTTTAATGTATCAGAAATGAGATCGTCATAGTCGTTATGTAACTCACACGGGAATAAAACGACTCCGCATGTCGTACGTAACATAATATCCGATACGCAATATGGCTTTTGAACGACAAGAAAAAAAGAAACAAAAAAGAGAAAAATATAGAAAAAGTGCCGCGTACGTTATTTCGAGTACGTACTTATAATTTGTGTTAGATACGATTCTTACAAGTTTTATCATTCGATGTAAACGAACTACGTTAAATTTTTTAAATAATTTTTTCACAGTTGAACAACTGACTTATGAGCACTTGGTTCGATGGCTGTCCTCTCACTCTTTATGTATTTTGTAAACTAGGCGGCGTTAATATTTCAAATACATTGGGAAATTTATTGCCGTGATATACGAGCAAAGGTACTCTTATTTATTATACAGATATATTTGTACTGTGTCAGAGATAAAAACGTCAGAGAATTGCCGCCATTACAACCAGAGACATTACATTCGTGTAATGACTTTGTCAACTGACTGATTTGCATTTCTTTCTCGTTAACGCATGTCTGTGTACAATTGAGACGTCAATGAGTCCAACTGACAAACGTAAGGAATTATTCATACGATTTAAGGGAAAACGTAAAAAGTCGGTGTAGCTCGACTGACGTTGTGAGTGAAGCTGAGTGAGATCAGGAACGCGTAAGGGATCAGTAGACCGTATTGATTTTCAATAATAAATTATGCATCGATGTACAGTGCGCGTCGTAGAATTTATTGGTGGCTCAATTGGTCAAATTGCTTGAAAAATTTTACTGTCGGCTCGGCATGGCCGATATATTATAAAGTGCAATATACATATTCGTATGTACGTATGACCAACAAGTGACGTAACGTTGGCTTAGTATTGCGTCAGACATTCAATATGATCGATGCTATCACAATTGTGGGATCTATTGCTAACAGAGTCTGGGACGAACACGTGTGGTATTTATTTGATTTTTAAATATATATATATATTCTTTTTTCAAAACATCAACCAAAAATGCCACAACGGATCTTGCCCATTCTCGAGAACGTATTTGCATTATGCTAATGGGCATTACTGCTAAGTAGTAAGAAACGCGTCACTCGATTAGCATATCGGTAATAATCGTGAATCCAATTTTGCGTCCGACGACTCGAAGTGCGACTGACATGAATTCGCGATAGTCTGATCTGTTGGTACGATCCGTGAAGTAGGTTTATTTATATCTATAGAATCTATGGCATCCAGTATGTATGTATTTGCCCGTCAATGTTGAATAACGTGATTAAAAATTAAGTCGCGTTGCACTTAATTACGTTGCACATATTGCACATAAACATTGGAGGTTGCACGTAATTCCAGTTATTCGGAGAATCGATTAAATTTATTCAATGTCAGCGAATAAAGACATTTTTTTTTCGAAAAAAATATCAAACACTTCGTGCCTCGTTGGTGCTAAAAACTGTCGAGTCACGGAGCTCCGTTCAGAGGTAATATCGAAAGTGGCAAGACGTCAGGAAAGATCAGCAGTATCGTGAAGTTGTCAACGGAATCGAACAATCGCTCGAATCGATGTAATTGGAACATCCTTTTTCGAAGTTGGAGATTTTCAGTGATTCAAACGTCTGGGGTCGCGGGATTTTTGCAACAGAGTAATTCAAAGGCGAAAGTTGATGGTTAATTCGTGAAACGGAGTCACGAAGGTCACGTTGACGGTTTGCTCGAAAAATGAAAAATTTAAAGAACAATAAGTTAGTGTGTAATAACTACCTTGTTAACTTGTATAAACGATTGCGTCATACTTCAGAAGGAAATCACGGGAGACGAATCCGTGCTTTTTTTTCGCTGTTTTTTATCTTTCCACATGTTAGTGATCGTGGTCGCTGCCCTGAGACCTGAGCTAGTCACGTTCTCTGTTATCTACATTGTTCTTCGTTACAGAGTCCAAGGGTAATTTTTCATTGAAGGAGATTCGTATTCTGTCAATTTAAAAATGCAATAAATTATTTCGATAAAAATTTATTCATAAATAATCGATATATGAATACGTCTTAGTATCAATTGACGGGTTCAAATTAGTCTTGAAAATACACCTACTCTGGTAGCCAGTAGTAGGATGAATTTTTCTATGTATTTTGTATGTCATCGGCTGATCTTGTCTTCGGCTTAACTCCTGACTGAACTGTCTGGTCTCGTAGTTATAAACGTGTTTGCCCGGAGATGTGCAGGGACGATTGCAAACTGGTTTCTGCTTACCGATGACGCGCATGAACCAAACCACGTGTCACGCACGTGCGTTCGTGAACGAATTCACGTACGAGTATATAACGCGAGCACGATTCCCGTCGCGGTGTTCAATCGAAGGGGAACCACCCGCTTTTAACCTGCATATCGCTGAAGTCTGCCTCGTAGACTTTTTTTTCGATAAATCGATACAAATCGAAGTTTGTGAATCGATATGTATCATCGAAGTATTATGTATTATCTACCGATAATAATCTTTTGTGAAGATACCAAGGAGAGATTAGAATGATAAAAATCAAAATTATTAACAATATCGAGCATTCGATAATGCATCACTCACATGATCCATCCAAACTTCTGAGGTTAATGCGTATTAACATGTAAATATATTATAGTTCACAGATAACTGTGATACGATTGATAACTTGATATGATTAATTAATTGGATTCAGCGTGGAGTGTTTTCTGGAAATATTACACTGCCATTGTTTAATGGATCGATGCGTTTCACTGGATACTTGGAAATGGCTGGAGCAAGTTAAGGAGTAAAGGCTGAATGCATATGGCAATAGATGGACTTCGAGAAACTGTTGAAAATGCGTGGTGAAACGTGAAAGACGTAGGAGCCGACGTTACGATAGAGAGAGAGGAGGGCGGAGAGAAAGAGTGACGTCATAGCGGAGGGATCGACCATTCGAGCCCCCGTGCTCGACCAATGAGAAGCAGCTTTCACCCCTCGTTTTATTACGACATGGAAACGCATGCAGTATTTCGTCAGCTTTTGAAATTTCGTCAGCCTCTCATTATACAAGGTTGCATAGAAGGTCGTTGTTGATGCAATTAATTATTAACCGTCGGAATTTTACATTTTTCCACCCAATATCGTACGGTATAATATAAATATATGTGAAAGACAATAATCGTCACAGAAAAATTGTCTAATTCAATATCAGCAACTTAAGACTCATACCATGGTAATTAAGCTGTTAAAATGAAATATAAGGATTGATAAATAATCAGTACTTTTTGCAAATACTATATTTCGGCTTTTTGGAATTTGACCAGTAACGCTACTCCAAAATCGCTTACGTAATATTTTGCAATTTTCCATGTGTGCCTATTGTCCGAGAAATCCCCTGACCTTTTTGCCCTTGAGACGACGAGCCTCTTCGTTGGCACATTCACCGATAACATACCGAGAAAGGCTGAGGTATTGGTGGGGAAGTTCCCCTCCATCCCCTCGTCGATCCCACTACCTTGGCATCTCGTGTCTCCAGGAATGGTGGAGGGGCGATATGGTCACTGGAGGGGATAGGGCATGGCTGAGGATAGGCATGGAGTAGGTGCGCGTGCAGAAGGCGCTTCGACCAGTTAGACCAGTTACAGTATAAAACTCAACGACATCATACGTTAATCAGAAATCGCGTATCGTATTCGAAACAGATCACAATCGCGAGATTGTCTAGAGTACTTACTACATACAGTCTAATTTCCTCTTTTGCGAGGACACTTTGAGGATTCTTTTGCGGTTTTCACTGAACGGCCGATCGAGACGTCAACCATGTGCCTGAGAAGTTCCGTGATGCCCGAGGTGAGAGCACCAGGAAGCTTAACTAAATTTTGACATTTGTCAAGGATAACCTAAGGGTAGTAACGATATTAGGGGGATAGCAATCGATCAAATGAACGTTGAGTTTAGAAGATTCCTCATTTTGAATCAGGTTAATACAAAGAGACGTGACTTTTTCGAGGTGGAGTAAAACTGTCTTTTAACAATTGTGCAAGTTTTTGACAGAACGGAATGGACGAATTGAAAGTACATATATTTGTCTAGAGTCACCGCAGTAAGTGAGCATCTATATGGTCTGGCTCGATTGATTTTTCTTTAGCAAAATTCTCGCCCGTCGAATGTAATCGTGAGAGATTGAATGGGTCTTTGTCTGTGGAATTTACGTTGTTGTAAGCGAATCGATAAACACTTTTGGACTTGCACGCGTCGCTCTGTCCTCGGAACGTCGCTTTTCTCCTGGCTACGAAATCTATCATTATTATGACTCTTGCGAATGAAAATGGATGGTTTTTAACTTTTACTATGACAAACGACAAAGTGTATCTGTGCACTGGACTTTAGTCTTCGTAAAAATATGTGGATAGCAGTGGTTACGCGAAAGTAAATGAATACACGTTAAATGGTGTAAATCTTGTTATTCATTTCATCCAGAGAGATCCGTAGTAGTGACTTGCAGTCTGTGATTAATGAAGCAATAAAAAGCAATAGATTAAAATTTACTTGCGATCTAATACCGCGATAACCTTGATAAATACTGATTAAACGATTTCCTTTGATAATAAGAAATTAGCGCCTAAAAATGTCCATTATCATTCGCTTAATTTTATTATAACGATATAAAGTTTAAATTTACAGTTTAAAGTTTAAATTTTACAACCTATTGATTTATATATCACAAACTGATGTACGAATTTTCAAAACTACGAGAACTTGCCTGTCGATTTATATCTTGGCTAATAAACTTGAGTGCATTCTGCAAATAGATACTTTCTGTCACGTGTTTTGATTCTGATACACCGGTATTAGTACGTCTCAACTATATTTCTAATTTCACGCAGAATGTCATCTAAACGTTATTTATTAGTTTACGAGGGGAATCATTGAATTCCTTATCAAGACCAAAAATATGTATTGGACATTAATTGTTGTAGTTACATTAAAGAAAAATGAGCAAAGAAATTGGTAATATTCATCCTTTCCATTCATAGCATCGGTAGCGGGGGTGGGGGTAGGGGACTGTTCGGGTAAGAGGAGAAGCATTGGCTGGTCGGAGGCGGGTGTGTCGGTGACGTCAGTCCAGATCGATGCCCTGCCTCGTGAAGGAAGCGGGAATTTTGAATTTCCCACCTCTTTACATGAAATTTCACAAGATGCCGAAACGGTTTCACACGTGGATTTGTTATTCAATGTGGCATCGAATCTTAAGGTACGAGATACATAACCCCTAGCGTCAGTGGAGTTAACTATATTATAGAAGCGTGCAAAGCTAGATAAGCTTTCGGGCCGATCCCTCTCTCTTCTACCTTTCTCAATTTTTATTATACGTTAATCTTGGACGAGGACTTCTCGGAATGCTACTTCCTTACTTTTTTGGTAATTACTGTCACGTACCATTAATATACCCGGGTTGGCTGACTTACCGTAAGTTCGCTTACGGCCATAGGGAACACAATATTTTTTTACTATTCCATTGCTCAACTGTTGAAACATTCTTACAAAAAAGTATATACATATATATATATATATATATATATATATATATATAGATGCATATTCCGTGCGAAATCACTGAAATACGTGATTGAACGTTAAAGTCATTGACCCAGCCTGGATTCGTGTCGACATGTGCTGACCTAATTTCTCGTAACCGCCAAATGTACAGCTGTATTTACTTGGTATAGGCTGAGTGACTTAAGGTCACGTGTCACTGAGAACTTCTTTGCACGAAATATTTGGAAATTTTTTAATGAATTTTCAATGAATTTTCATCTTGACTCTAGACATTTTATGTGAGACATCTGACGTCAGTCAGCTGTGCAGATGATCCGTAAGAGGATAGATCGTAAAGGAAAAATCATGCAACTGGAAACGTTGCTATACGTCGTACCGAAGGAGGGCTATAGTTACAGTATATAGTTAGCTGAAGAAAAAATGTAAACAGACGGTGTTAGTCTAATAATAGTTTCTAATCAGTCATACCTTTAAAGCTGCGCATACTAAATATGCCACCCAGGCACAGAAATCGTACCTGCGTTTTACTCTGTCGCGAAAAAAAGTCAAAGTCCGTACATTTCGTGTGTACGTACTTAATGACGTCATAGGTGTATATCATTGTAAAAATAATATATCAGGAGCGACCAGACCCTGGAAAGTCAAGGCTTGAATGACGAAAACGATATCAGTAAGAGAAAGTAAATTTCTTAACTGACACGAAGGGAACGATAAATAGTTAAGATTTTCTAAGCTAATTGCGAGTTTCTCAGGATTGATGTTTGGGGTACTATTCGACCTGTTATTTTTTGTTAACACAGCAATATTGAAAGTGCTGCGTGACAGTTGTCGAACTTTTATAAAAAAAAGGCATTAAATCGTCCGTGCGGTACTTATCGCGAGGAATTTCCTTCTATTGGCATACACTGTTTGTCTTAGATAAGCCTAGTATTTTTCCATAAAGTTTCGCAAGTGTTTAGTGTATATTAGTTTTGATTAAATTTTATGCAAGGCACTTGAACGACTTATGGAACTTCTTTTCTTCGAGAGAGGGAGGAGCTGTAATAACTTGCGCTGGGCACGATGGTGGCTTTGATTTTGACAAGTCTTAGGGTATTTGAATCTCTCGAGACTTCGATTTGGTCGATATCGGACAGAATGGTTGCCAGTGAATACGCGTCTGATGCATCGATGTCACGTTGTAGATAGGCTAAGATTGCGAATCTAAAAAACTGATAAGTCTCTGATAAGAAAGTAACGTCTGGGTTTCGTACTGATCGCATATGTGTACGCCGGTTTCTTTTCTTGAGATTCTCAATCTCTAATTAATAATTTTGTAAATAATTGTTAAATCTCTATAAAGTCTCACTCAATGACTCGTACGAAGCTGTACGGTGCATTGTTGAGGAATAAATAATAAACGCTTAATTTTGTCCTTAGATAATGGACCTAGTTAAAGCGTTCGATTACCACGTGATAATTGAGGGTAAAACAATGCAATTGTGTCCTGTGCATATGCAGTTTGACAAGGAGTGCGCGTGGCATTGCGCAAGAACGAGGTACGAGTATTTGCAATTGGTCCCACCACGGGTTTCACAGTTGTCTAGCAAAGTACCAAATGGGAAGGTCGTACGAAGGTCATTCGAGAAAATGTACTCATGAGCTACGAATAGGGATACCAGTTACTTCGGAGTCATTATTCATATTTTGAATTCAATGTGTTTCAGATAAGGGAAGCGTGCAAGGATCTAGTCCTTTCCGACGAACAGCTCAAACTGGTTATGGAGAGATTGACTTATGAGATGAAGAGAGGTTTGGGCAAGGAAACTCACAAGGACGCCATTGTAAAATGTTTTACAACTTACGTGCAAGATCTTCCCAATGGGACTGGTGAGTGGGGCTGTGATCGTTAAATAAAACTGTGATGACCGAGAGCTGTACTTGACTCGCTTCTTCTTTTGTGGAAGCAATAATGCTTACGTGATGTTTTCTGCTTTACAGAAAAAGGTAATTTCCTGGCTTTGGATCTTGGCGGTACGAACTTCCGTGTTCTGCTGATTACTCTGGACGGTCAGAATTTCGATATGAAGAGCAAAATCTATGCGATACCTCAGAGTCTTATGCTGGGAACCGGTACTCAGTTATTTGATCATATTGCTCAATGTCTTGCTCTTTTTATTAAGGATCTTGGAATGCAGGATCAAGTATTGCCACTTGGATTTACCTTTAGCTTCCCTCTCACTCAGCGTGGGCTTACCCAGGGTGAGCTGGTTAGGTGGACCAAGGGGTTTAATTGTAGCGATGTCGTAGGCAACGACGTTGTTGCTTTACTGGAAGACGCTATTGCTAGGAGAAATGTAAGTCTTTTAACTTTAACTACGTGTGGTATGATTCGCACAAAACATTGTGATCTTATCAATGCTTTTTTGTCTCTTTAGGATGTTAAGATCGATGTTTGTGCCATTTTAAATGATACGACCGGTACCCTGATGTCCTGTGCATGGAAAAATAGAAATTGTCGAATCGGTCTCATCGTTGGTATGTATTCAGTAACAGTAATCGATAATGAAGATTTTCACAGTACTTGCAAGGTGCATGTTTAAATAATACTTTGTCTCTGTATAATTAAGGTACTGGCAGCAATGCATGCTATGTGGAAAAAACTGAGAACGTCCAATGCGCCAATCTCAATGATTATGAACGGCAAAAGCCATATATGCTGATCAATACCGAATGGGGTGCCTTTGGGGAGCAGGGTACTCTTGACTTTATCGTCACAGAATACGATCGTGCGATCGATGACAATTCCATCAATCCAAAGAAACAAATTTTCGAGAAGATGATATCCGGAATGTACATGGGTGAGCTGGCGAGACTGGTGCTCGAAAAGCTCATAGATGCAGGACTTCTATTCAACGGCAAATGTCCGACTAATTTGAAGAAACGTGGTAAATTCTTCACGAAATACGTTTCCGAAATCGAGAGGTAATTTTTGAAATTATTGTACAATTTTTTTTCTAAAGACAATTGCACAAGAGAAAAGACATTTCCTCATTAGTTACAATACGCTATGCACTGCTTTCTTTATTTCGGTACCAGGCTGAGCATATTGAAAACTCAATCTGTTAAATCAAAGGTAAACACAGAGTATTCCGTAAACATACAATATTCGAAATTTCAGCGATCCCAAAGGAAAGTACACGAATTGTCGGCAAGTCCTAGCTGAGCTGGGAATCAACAATGCATCCGATCAGGACTGTGAAAACGTGAGGTACGTTTGCTCCGTAGTGTCGAGAAGAGCCGCTCATTTATCGAGCGCTGGCATCGCCACTCTCCTTAATAAGATGGGAGAGAACAACGTGACCGTCGGAATCGATGGTTCCGTTTACAGATTCCATCCTCATTTCCATGACCTCATGACCGAAAAGATTAGCCAGCTGCAAAGCCATAAGGTAAGCATTGGCTAGAGTTTGATTGTCTTTGTTTGTTGTACCTCTTGGCAGTATTTTTCAAGAACCTTTAAGTAATTGAGAATATTGCTTTCAGTTCGGCCTGATGCTCTCTGAAGATGGTAGCGGTCGTGGTGCAGCGTTGGTCGCTGCCGTAGCATCGCAAAAGCGGTGAAGACGATAACGGCGGCGCCGTATCTACTTAATATCGAAAATTTAGACTAAATTATATAAAGTAACGATAAATTGACACATTTCTGTACATAGAGCACAAACGTAGCTTAGGTCGTCGGCACAAGGAAATACCGGCCGATGCTCGATTCCTACACGAACTTGATATGGATCTTACCGTTGGTCCTTTTTCAAGCACGCATGTGAAAAGCTAAATGGAGTACCAAGCCTTCTTTTAAACAGACTGTAATGGGAGGATAGAGACTCGTTCACGGAGATCGAAAAGAAGAAAACGAAGATAATGAATAACATTTTTTGTGCCCTCCCGTTCGACAAGAAGATATAAATATATATAGTTCCCGTGCTAACTTTGAATTCTTGATATGAGCCGATGAAATATCTTTGAGACACGGCCAAACTCTCAACTCTAAAAATAACGTCATTGATGGATTAAGAACGAGATGGTACGCGAGACACAGATTGAACTACCAAAAAGCGTAACTGCCAAAACAAATTCAGAGAGAATGGAAAGCATACGTAACGATCGCACAGTTGGATTACTAAAACTTTAAGAAAAAAGTAAATAATTTCAAATAGCGTTGTACATGTGCACTAAAAAATTAGTTACAGCTACTTAATTCTTTTGTAAAGGTCGTAGAGCGAAGTTTACTATTAATTTATTTTCCACCGGGTGTTAGCGTGTCTCAGTGTAAAGCGCCCGGTCGTATCGGGAAGTTCAAACTGAGAAATACGAATCAAGGCGATCGAAGAAACGAACTAATAGTTTCTCCGGTGAAATACAAAAATTCATGTTGAACGATTTATACATTTACGAACAATTTATATTTATTATATTGCCATTTTATCCTAAGGTACAGTAACTGGTACCGCATGCAGGAGCGAGTGAATATAAGGGGACAATTCGGTGTGTGACACAATGAAAGATTGTTTTCCAACATTCTTAGGCTCAAGGTCGTCAAATCCATCACTCACGAGTCTACAGAGAAAAGAATAAAGTTCAGACTCATTTGTATCTACAGAGTGTACTAAGGTATACTTCGCTGACGTATTAATCGAGTTATGCCACAACGCGGCCCACGTGCACTTTCACCGTTTCATTATGAAACTTGCGCCTGCCCATTTATTAACTTTTCAAGCACGCGGCAATAGGTTTTTCTACCTCGACGCGATACGAGGACACCACATAAAGACGATGTCCGCGAGTGAATGCGTTGTACGCCTGAGAATGTGTGATGCGCGGGATTATTTTAAAGAAAAGTTGTACTGTTTTCTAGCATAATCGAGAATAACCTCGTAGTGTTATAGAGAAAAGGAAGAGAAAGAAAGAAATTCTGCGCGTAAGGAATAGTGTCCCCGCGTATACGTATACGTATGTGTGTATGGCCGTGTTGTGTGTGTGTGTGAGGGTAGGGAAAAAAAAGAAAATTGAGGGAGACGATTGGCGTGGGGAAAGAGAAGGAGAGTGAGAGAGAAACAGAGTATCCGTGAGTCCGTGTAAAGAGAAGATGAAAAAAACGAAATGATATGAAAATTATTCGATTGTTCCCCGCCTCTCTATTACAATTCATTATCTGCGATGTGATAAAACGTTACGAGTGATAAACTGAATACACATACCGCCGGCATAAAATGTTTACATGATAAGAACTAGTTTCGTACTTTTAACCATCAAAGCTGTTCCAATCCTTGACGATTCCTTTCAAAATGCTGCGCCGATTACGAAAATTCAAAAAATCGGTGAGTACTAAAATTTTTATAGTATTGCTGATATATATCTTTGGGTATATCTCGTACGGAGTATCGTTTTTATGTACGATTAATTGAAGTATCATTGTCTTACTGCACTGAGCGTAGTGTCTTCGAATGACTTTTCATTAGTTTGATTATAGTTAAAGACAACTTGTTGAAGAACCAAAAGTACAAATTTTGTTGTAAAAATACAAGGAACATGGCGTGTCCAATTATGAGGTTGCTGCAAAATGTTAAGCAAAATAAGTTTTTGACGTTGCAATTTATTTATTCGGGAGGAAAACGTGACCATTATGTAGAACGATATTTTGTTGTTTACGTTGAAGATAAAGGTTGATGTGTATACGTTAAAATAAAATAATCGTTTGTTACGTGCAATATTTGTTAAAAGACTCATATGAGAAACGACTCGACAGGTTTTCTTTTTTTTGTTATTCGTTCCCTAAATCGCGAAAGAAATTTTTACATTTCATGCCAATTTATTTATAGATTATATGGTTTAATGTGCATTACGTGCATAATAAGACGGGATAGATGAAAGAATATGAAACAACATATTTACTGTATTTTATGTACAGCACATCTGAATGTTAATGATTCTCCGGAACAATATAAGTACTTATGTTTTATATAATGTGGCTTGTGATGGATTACATATTGCATACTTCGTGCACAGATCAGTAGGGAGATGCACGACGCTACGGTTTTAGGCGATACCAAAAACGTGGCGCTAAATCGTAGCGGCGAGTCCGGGAATAGAATTTTGTGATCATCGCCTCCGTCGATAATGCATATCCCGTCGTAGTCGAGCTGAACGTGATCACGAACGGGTAGCCTGGCGGGCAGAGTCCTCCGCTACTTATCGCTGGTTCCCAAAGCAACACTTAGAACGAGACAACTCATCGGATATAGCCGAAATACTTTTTTTCTTTGCAATCCTAAATTCGATCGCACAGTGTAAGCTCGGTAAGTTTAATATGACAAAAGCAAGCAACTCATGTCTGCCTGCACTGAAGCGTATGATGCCACAAGCATATTTAATACATATTTTACCGATGTTGCGTAGCAGAACGAGTGTTGAAACCTATCAGGAACTGTAGAACTTCTCGAGAACTATTGAAAAAGCCTATTGTTGAATCATTTTCAAGAGATTTTAAAAAAGTGCGATGCTGGAGCTGACATCCGTGTAGCACCTCCATTTTTGTAATGTTAATATAATATGTAT